GGGAGGGAGGAGGCAGCTTACAATTTAAATTTTTTTTCACAATAACCATATGTAATAGGTATGTTTATTAGCATAGTTTTATGGATGGAGAAACTAATGCCTGAGAAAATGCATAGGCTACTTAGGGAATCAGTTAAAAATGGGCAGGGAGGAGAATTGAACCCAGCAGTGTGGGTGATCATTTGTTTATCATCTCAGTCATAAGATGATAAGGGTCTGTGAGTAAAAATACTTCCTTCATGGATGAGGAAATGGAAACACAAAGAACTATACAACTAGTAGCCATCCGATTCAAGACTTTGCTTCTCCTACCACAATGCTTATAATCTGAATAGATTTTTAGCATACCCATTTTCCACCTCCAGGTTTTCCAACACTTAAACTATCTCCACATGGGAATCACCCTATTTCATTCTGCTTACACGTGTGAAAACTCCAAACTGTTAAAACTTTCGTACCTAGAATATAACACTTGAAAGTCACGTATCGTGTTGATCGTGTTGCGTTTAATGTGACTCTCTTTCAGACAAGAACTTTGTTGACTTGTTAACCCTTTCAGTTGTCCGGTCTCTTGCTGATAAAGGAATGGAGTCCAACATTTCTCCCCTGCATCAAAATGAGTTTTGGGGTATATTTCATGGGACTACCTTCCACACTATTCTCCACCTGAGAATAGTTGACAAGTACATACCCTTATGTATCAGGATAGCTTCATAAGGAATGGAAACCTAACAACATTCCGTAGAATTACCTAAAGCTTATCTCATTTTCACTTCTGTTCCCATGTCCTCTTGTTGAACTGATTCTTTTAAAAAAGGAAAAATGAACAATTGAGTATTCATGTCTGTTCAATTCAACAGCTATCTACAGAGTTTCTACTTTTTCTCACATGATAAATATGGTATAAACTGTGCTGAGGAACCTCACAATCCCCATGATAAGGAGACCAAGTTCCTAAATTCTATTCAAAGAACATGCTGCTGCTCAGCACTAAAAAGTCTTGGGACTTGGAAAAGAGACATGTATACTGATGAATAAATCTTTAAAATGTCTAATCTAAGCAGGGAGGTGGTGACACATGCCTTCAATCCCAGCACTCGGAAAGCAGAGGTAGGCAATCTCTGAGTTTGAAGTTGAGGGCAGTCTGGTTTACAGAGGAAGTTCCAGGACAGCCAGCAGTACACAGAGAAACCCTGTCTTGAAAAAAAAGAGAAAGAAAAAAAAGTCTAATATCATAAGTTTCCACTGATTGCTTAGGTCAATGAAAGTAGGGTAACTGTATGACTATTTTATTATTAAAAAATTAATTATAGTTAGCAGAAGGTCTCTTATAGAACCTAGTGTAGTGCTGGCAGGCAGTGCTTAGAAAATTAGTGAAAAGTCACTTTGACATTATTAACAGCAACACATTCTGTACACCTGTGCAACATCATGCTGAGCTCTACTATGAACAACATTTGTGCTGCTCCTTACACAGAAACAAATCCAAATCGCGTGTGTATTGTGTGTTAAAGTGTGTGCTTATGCTTGTTCTTATTCTTGCTGGAATCTGTGCTATTTATCAACAAGATAATGCAAAGAAAATTCAATAGGTACATCCTGTCCAGAGGTTAACAAAGGAAAACTCAAAAAAAAAAGCAGTTCCATAAATTGTTTCTACAAAGAACCTGAGATGTTGCTGACTATTAGCTTCAGAACCCTGCACTGCTGCCGTCTGCTCTATATAAAGTGTCATATTATTGTCAGCTCAAATCACAGGTCCCGATGTACAGTGAGATTTCCCTATGAACATCTGGCTAATAGCCAAGCAAATATACATAATTTAAAACACTCAATCAGTTTCATTCTGAGGCATTTTGTTCATTTAATAGCTTCTCCAGGGACAAGAAAATTACAAAAGCACATTGTTTTGACATGAGCTAAAATGAGTCATTGCTTGTCACTACATTTTTGAGGACCTGACATTAGTCTTCTGAGAAAGAGAACCTAAACATTTGATAAATACTGATTTTCCAAAACAATTTAGTAAAATTGGGCTACTCTTTTCACGAAGCAGCAAAATGTAACCCCAAAGGAAAACACTGTCTTTATCTAAGTAGGAGCCATTTTTTCTCAATACCACCTTTTGGGAAAATTTTAATAATCATTTACGCACAACCCCTAAAGCAATGTTACAGCTTCCTGGAGTGTTTATGTTTTACAAGATGTTACTAGACAGTATAGAGTCAAATCTTTGGTAAATCTTAACTCTCTGGACCAGTGATTTTAATACTTCTCTGTATACTAGAATCATCAGAGGAGTCCAATGTAACCAAGGGAGAATCTTGGGACTTAATCATTAGTACTAATGACAGTTCTCTAGGTAATTCTATTGTAGAGCCAAGTCTGTATTGGTGTTTTAGACTTTAGATACGGAAGCACAAAGATAGGTGAGTTGGGCATGAATGGTGCTTTATGAAAGGCTGATAAGAGTTGAACGATGGGAGAAAATGTTTGATTAAGCTCTTTGAAAATGACATTTTCATGTACAGGGATAAATTAACAGTTAGAAGCCAAATTCTAGGGTATGAACCTGGTGATTGGTTGTTTATGAGCGCTCGGAGACTTGGTTTCTTGAAGTCTTATAACTGATTAAATGAGGATAAGAAAAGTACTTTTCAGGGTTGCTATACTCAAAGAATTAATCTACATGAATATAAAATGTTAAGAATAGTGTTTTAAACACAATAAGACCAGGTATGTTACTTGCTAATATCCTCCTCATTACCATCTTTATTATTCACACCTTACTAAAATGAGTTGCATGTACTGTCCTAAACTAAAGACACTTGAAATGTCTTGATTTTTAGAATTTTAAGACATTGCATTATATTTACAACATATTTACCTACTCATTCTCTACTGAGCACTTATCATGCATGTGTGAAACATTATCGTATATGTGTTGCCTAATTTTTTTTTTTTTTACAAAATGTGTCTGTGATTTTCTACTTGTTTCAGTCTAAAATTCTAACAAGTTGATTCTGACTTTGCAATACAGAGTTTCATAGCTCCAGCACAACTGGAACACCACAGACAACAGCTGAGGAAGAGACTCACGATAACCAGCTAGCTGAACATTTACCCTACTCATGCGTTTGTGCAAGCAGCTATATTCTATACACCCCCACTTAATTAATTCAATAGTCTGTAAGGAAAGTACTCCTCAATAGCCTCAGTTTGTGAATGGCAGATTGGAAATACAGAGGGATTATACAACTGGCATGTAGAGAACTTTAGATGTCTCCGCCCACAATCCGAGTAGTCAACTTGGCTTTTGGGAGGTGGACTGTAGTAGAATCACAATCAAGAGCAGGAGGGAGTCTAAATGTCTGTCCTCAAGTTCAGAAGCAGTATATTTCATGGAGGAATCCTCATGTTTTAACTTAAAAAAAAAAGTTTGTGGACGAATACAAGAGGAGTGAGGGAAATTCTAGGGAAAATGACAATAATCACAGCTACTAGTCAGATTTTACAAAAACAAAATCTGTACATGCAATAGCTTTTGATCATTTTAATTGTGTAATCAATTTAACTCATGGAAAACTCTGTAAAAGTTTCAGGGGGACTATTTCCAATGTTTTTAAAAGGCGCAACTTTTACTTTTAAGTCTAATGCATTAATAATGCTTATTAAGATAAAAGTATGTGTTACAAAATGACTAAAACACCCTTCCCATATAATCATATGATATAGGAAATCAAACATGAGCTTTTGAAACTATAACCAAATGTTCTGTTTAAAATAAAATTGATGTAAATAAATATTAACAAACATCAGACATTATTTTCTTTTAAAAGATATTTTTAGATGAAAAGAAAAGACTTCTCAGTTTCAGCCTCTAAAGAAATGAACACATAAAAATCCCTATCAAGTATAATCAAAAGCATATTCACTGCAGTTGTCATGAGAAAAGGAGTACACACCTTTTTTTAGTATGTAGGCTCAGGCCTTCTTAGTTGGCATAAAATCGTAAAAGAAAACTGATTTGCATTAGTGTTAATAATTATTAAATTTCTATGAGATCTTTAGGCTCAGTGTTCACGAACAGTGTCTTTTAACTTCACTTTCTGTGAATGTTCCTCTTGGTGTGTGCTTGCATGTGGAAGCTGGAAGTTAAGTGTCTTCCTCAATCACTGTCTATCTTCTTTCACAAGACAGGGTACCTCACTGAACCCAAAGCCCACTGAGCTCCAGGGATCTGCCTGTCCCCATCCCACCAGTGCTGGATGGAGTTAGACACACACCACCTTGCTCAGCTTTATGGGTGCTAGGCCTTCAAACACCGGTCATTATGTATACATTTGGCAAGCACTATACTAAGTCATCTCCCCATTCCTTTCTGAAATTCTTATATGACCATCCAAGTGATTTTAAAACAAAACAAATATAGTATGATTTTAATTAGTCATGGTGATTGAAAGCAAAAATAGTTGAATTTATGCATGAGTAGTAGACATTCATGAGTATTTGTTCAACCTTTACACACGACAGAAGGCCCTCTGTAGTGAGGTCTCTTAGCAGAGATCTCTAAAACCCTAATAACCCACTTTGGGGTTGGGGAAAATAGTATGACAAAGAAATGAGAAACTAAAGAACCCAGTTCAGAATCTGACTGCTTCCTGGGAGTCTTAAAACAGTTGGGTATTTTGCTTTCACTGTGCAAAATTTTCCCTAAACTACACTAAGTTACACATCAATATGCGACAAGAAATTATTATTATTATTATTATTTTTGGCAACAGAATCAACCTTCAGAAAATACAAACTACTCATTTCTAAAAAAGAAATAAAACAAATAATTCAAATTTTGATGTCAGGTAAATAATTCATTTCAATATATAAAGCTAAACTTTAAGTTGTTGGTTGTTTTGTTTTGAATTATATTTATTCATGGCTATGTACTACTGAATGTATTCATTACCAGAACCAAAGAACAGCCCAGGTAGGATAGTTTCGACCTTCTAAAGCCAGATGGTTTTTAGTGCAGCTGTCCACTCTGCTGTGACCGCACGAAAGCAGCCAGATGAACAGGTAAACAAGGGGTGTGGCTCTCTTCTTCATTTTTGGACCCTGAAATTAGTATTTTATATAATGGTCACTTATGAAGGAAAAAAAACAATTTGTCTAACTATCTGCAGATTTAAAAACTATTCTTAGTACGTTGGACTTCATAATTTGACAGTAAGCTAGCTACAGAAATTAGTGAGGCCTTTGTAAAATTTTGACTACAAATATTAATTTTTAAGGCATGATATTGAAAATTTAAAACACATCATTTAGACTAATAACCATAACAAGGCAGGAAAGAGAAGGCAGCAGGCACTGTTGTGGGGTTCTACAGCACTGACATATATTTAAAACATCTTTTAAGTGTATACATATTAAATATATAAAATACTAATATGAGCAAGTCCTGTAATCTTGATAATATTATCTTCAATAAGACTGTAATGAACAATACCTAGTGAACTTCCCCCTACAACTGGCAAGTTTTTAAATAAACAGTTAAGTTTTACTAAAACTAAAGTGAAATGTTATTAAATCATATAAACAGAATGTTCATTAAAGTTCTTTACCACAGTCACTTTTGCTCAAAAAGAAAAAAAGCAAAAAACAAAAAAACCAAACTTATCTTCAGAAGCAAATTATATTTCTCTCATACTGGCAATAGGCTACAATCAAATTTAGAAACATTTTCTATTTGTCATGTCTGACAGATGGTTGGAAAGGGGCCTCTGCCTCCTTTTGTATATGCTGGTGTGCTTTATGTGTGTATGTGTGGGTGTATGCGTGCGCGCATGTGTGGACATGCACACACACAGTATTAGTGGAACCTCTGTTCTTAGGTACCTTGTAGAATCAGCAAAGATGTAGCTGCTAAAAGTCATAAAACAAAACCATAAACACTGCCTTTTTAGAAATACCATTTAAATAGAGTATTCCTGAATATAGCAATTTATGGACCAGTTCTCTCTCACACAATCATCAAAATGATTGTGTTTCAGTGTTTTTACTATTTTAATAAAGTACTATTACCAGGGTCCTAATCTGGCTTCCTGGTCCCCTGTTCTTGTGATATCCACCGGGAAAATTCAAATGCAACATAGAGAACGTAGTTAAGAAGACAGATGAGGTTATCAGAGAAGAATATGAAACAGTCACAGGTTACTGGACAATGACCTGAGGGATTGTTGTGCTCCCTAACATATTTAAGCAGGGTCTTACAGTTTTTATAAAGTCTCTAGAACTTCCTGAGAGGTTGTCAAGTCACGTGATTAAAGGCCCATTTGGGTTAACGTATAAGACAGTGAACAATGTTATCTCCTTATTCTTTACTGAAAGCCACAGGCTAGTCAGTGTATTATATGCTTTTAGATAATTTAGAATGTCATGTCTCCACCCAGGGCCAGGACCTAGATCCTATTTTTCTGACCAGTAACCAAGTTTTTCAGTTTCAGTTCCTGGTTCACAGGCTGCTGATTAGGAGGGGTAAGGGTCCGTCATCAATGAACTTCAAATCCACTGATACTGGAAGGACTATTTATCCACCAGTGTCATGGATCATTAAATAACTATCTTAGTCTCTCTCTCTCTCTCTGTGTGTGTGTGTGTCTGTGTGTATGTGTAGCTTGTGGCCACACTAAGTTGTCAGTAGGCTGGCTACAGAACTTAGTCCTGACTTCTGGAATTTGTGACTATCCTTTGGGGACATTTTACTTAAGGACTCTGTATGATGCTTAAAGTTTAAAGTGACTCCATTCATAAAGTTGAAGAAGCTACCTCCACTCCAACTAGAAAGTACACATTTCATACCCAGAAATGCTGTAACTAATGGGGCATGTGGCCTTTTAATAGGAAAACAGGACCTCTGCGAAATGCATAGCAATTAGGTGGCTAACATTAGGGCAACAAATTTTCCCTGGCCTTCCTGTTGCCATGTGCCTGCCATCTTTCCTCTATACTTTCCATTCGCTGTTTCAAACATATGTTGCCACTTATTTGCCAGGAAAGGAATCTCTGACCTACTCTATGTATGATGAAATGGCAGACGGAACGGAGCCACAGACAGCACCATTAGCAGTTATTCACACTTCTGTTTTCTCTTAACTTCCTTTCCTCTAAAGTTTATTCCTCATATGCTAGGAGGGATGTGTAATCATAAAAACATCCGTGACTCATGCTTTAGAATATGGAACCACAGCAACTCCATGAAAAAGCAAATGGCCCCTCCTGCCAGAAGGCAGTAAGCCTTCTTTCTACAAAAGGAACATATCTAAACTCAGACCTTGATTAAAGTAGGTAAAGGGACTTTTGTCCAACTTTCACCAGCCTCAGTTTCTTCTCTAGTGATTACTGCAAGAGTTTACCTAACGTTAACTCAGTCTTAAGGAGGCACCTACTTCATGGGCTCAGGCTGCAGAAGAAAAAAATATGACAGGTTAGGTAAAAGGAAGGGTTTTTCCACTAAAGCAAAATGGATTTAAGGAGACAAAATATGCAAATCTAGTACTACATCTAAAGTACTAAGAAATAAATATTAATTGTATTATTTGACTACTGAAACCAGTATGCAACAGGAAACAATGACATTGTTATGTTGTCATACAACAATAACAACAAAGCTTAAATGATAAGCAGCAAAAACTACCAGTAATTTGCACTGATAGAAAAGACTGTCAGTCAAAACATTAGGCCTTGTTTATAAGCAAAAATCAAATACAGTGTCTCAAGAGTCCACAGATAGTACTATGCAAAGTAAAGGGATATCACACCAAACAAACAGAATAGTCCTGCTGATTGACAAGCAGCCTGTATCATCCCTTAATGAAGGGCACCTGCAACTTTTATAATATGAGCAATGGGGACGGCTAGTTGTTGAAAAGATTTGATGCTTTTGCCTGGGGTAGCAAATATGAAGATACAGTAAAGTTTCATCATGTTGGCCATGAAAAATATTTACACACACATTCTCTGGACTATGAACACCTGATTTGTGAATGTTCTTTCTATATAAAAAGCCCATTCAATATCCACTCAAAAAGATGACACCTGGAGAGCAAGATTACTTCCAGAGCTACTTAATTTTAAGCAGGCCTAGCTGGCCTGGGGCTGGCATGGAAATGACAGGGAGGTATTCACCTGGAATCCAAAGTGGGGATGTAGAACACATTCACTAATAAATATTCTATTTTATGTAGCATATGGGCTCTCAGCTGGTTTACAAAAAGTTAGTTGACCTAATATGTAGCTTAAAACCTATATATTTTCAAGCATATTATTCTCAGGTGCATGTTGTAATAGTCACAGTACATATAAATCTCTTGAACTATGTTGTTATTATTATGCTGCAAAATCATCATACTATTAAGTTACCTAAAAACATAGGGTCTCAGTTTCAATGTGGGATTAGTATGCCTTCTTCTACTAGATGGAGAAACAACTCCATTCTTTTAACAATGCTGCTTTCATGGAGTGATATCTTAAAAGTGAACCTTTCAGATGGTCCTAAGTTTGGAAGATTATTTACTTCCCTGCTTGCTATTTAACAGCAAACTTCCCGAAAATCTAAAGGGAAACTAAGTTCAGTATTACTGTATGTTTCTGCCATGAGAAAAAGAGACGGGGGAAAACCCCTGACCTTTAAGGACATTAAATGATAAGAAAAAGGAAAAAAGGAAGTAGCAATCATAACTGGAAAGGAGGGAACAGCATACCAGGTCGCAGAACTAATGGGGGTCAGTAACTCTTTTGTCCACATCTGACACCAGCATGAGTGCACATCCGCATCCAAACAGATAACACACTCTGTGGAACACAGTGCCACTTTCTTGTGCACTTTTTCAGATGTAGATTTTTTCAGATTCTTCCTCTGCACGAACAAATACATCAAATGATTTATATGCAGTGAGTAATTGGATTACTATGAACCCAATCTATTTTCTTTATACAACTTCCAGTTGTAAAATTCTTAAATTAGGGATCTGTCTTAATTTCTAGCAGATAGCAAAAGAAAGTAGGTAAATAGTGTAGTAGGGATGGGCAGATCCCAGTCTGCTAATGCCTGCTACATGCTGGGTTTAGGATAACGGGCTTTCTTCACCTAAAATTAGTCTCCACAGAACATGCTTAAAAAGAATGCCGAGCTTCAATACGAGGAAAATTGTAGAACAGTTAATAGAAACAGCTCTGAACTCAGCAAAGAAGGAACTGAATTTGCTTCTACCTTCAAAGTGTCATAGTGAGCAGTAAAATGTATAGATTTTAGAAAAAGGGTTCTACCAAATAGAAGTCATCCTCAACCACCATAGAACTACTTCTATATGAAAAAAAAAATCAACTATAGACAAAAGGTGGTTGTGGAGATGAAAGCAAATGGAAACTCTTCTGTGAAGACATGTATATGTACAATAGAAGAATTTGTTATATGCTTTTTATCAAACAAACAACTTTTGATTGTTTTTTTCAAGATAGGGTTTCTCTATATATCCCTGGCTGTCATAGAACTCACTATAAATCAAGCTGGCCTTGGACTCAGAGATCCACCTACCTCTGCCTCCAGAGTACTGGGATTAAAAGCATGTACCACCACAGGCTTAAACAACATAATTCTCAGAAATCTACTATGATTAGGTAAAATTTAGTTAGTCTTAGATCTGAGAAAAATAGTTGAAATTCTATATAACGTGAGCAATGCTTTTCAGTTGATGGTTAAACAATGTCCAGATGCTAAATTTGTCACTGGAGATGTTAGGCACATTCACTGAACACAAATGAGGATTGTCCAAACAGTCTCAGTGTCCAGGACTCCACAAAGGAACAGACATGGAGCATCCTTGGCTCTTCACCCAAGCAAGGCACTGATACTTGTCTCTATCAGTCATAATCCCATCATCTCTAATTTAGCTCTCTTCGTGGTCAGCATCAACAGGGTCTCCAAACTCTTTACAAGGAAAATGACAGCACAATATAACACTTTGAGCTTATGCAAAAGAGAATTTAGAATGACCCTAGGCCTACTGAACTCATACAAACATGGTCATTAAGCAGTGACCAGTCAGGTTGAGGAAAAA